ACAGCAGACGCGAAGCTTGGAGCCCACTGTGGCTAGCCCAGGCTGCGGCAGGTCCCTGCATGACACCAGAACCCTGGACAGCCGTCCTCGTCCATGTCTGGCCCGGCCACTTCCCCTACAGAACACTCAGCCCTGGCCCGGCCTGGCGTCCTGCATCTGTGCACGGAGCAGGCCTCTGGGCTGGGCCCTGCACACCCTGTACACGCTGCCCTGCCCCACATAGAATGCCCTCTGCACGCCTCCCACGGGGCGTCCCTCCACGGGGCGTCCTTCCACAGAGTGTCCTTCCACGGGGCGTCCTTCCACGGGGCGTCCTTCCACGGGGCATCCTTCCACGGAGCGTCCTTCCACGGGGCGTTCTTCCACAGGGCGTCCTTCCACAGAGTGTCCCTCCAGAGTGTGTCTTTCCATGGGGCATTTTCCTATGGGACGTCTTCCCACGGGTACCCTCGCACAGGGCACCCTTCATAGGGCGTCCACCTGTGGGGTGTCCTTCCACGGCACATCTTTCCACGTGGGAGACGGCCCTGCCTGCCAGGGCAGCCACGGGAACCGGTTGGTGAGGATGCCCACGACTATGATGATCACCAACGGGAGGGAGACGGCAGGGGACGGGCGACAGCGTGCGTTAGGGGCGAAGCGTGCTGGCCCAACAGAACCGGCCCAGGCGGGTCTGGAAGGAGCGGCACCCACAGGGCAGCTGGCCCCGGATGCCTGCGGCTTTTGTAGCAGGCCACTGCGTGGCTCTGACTCATGGGCCAGAGAGCCTTAGCTGCAGCTGCTTGGTCTGCTACGGTCATGTTTACTTTTTAATTTTAAAAAAGTATGCATTTCTTCCACAAGAGAGACAAAGACAGAAAAACGAGCCCCTGCAGGGTCTCCCGGGGACTCCCTGCGGCTGGACGTGGGCACTCACCAGGGCCTGCTCTCGGGGCCTCCGCGGTGCTCCCGCCATGCCGTGGCCTGCCTGGTCCTCTAGCCACATGGGCAGGAGGCAGGCCGCTGCGTGCCATCTCCCGGTGCGGCCATGCAGTCCTGCGGCTCAACCACTGCGTGTGGTGCACACTGAGCAGCAGAGCCCACGGGGGGCCCAGCCTCCCTAGAAACC